GTATGCAAGAATCTGTGAACATTAATTTTTTTAGTCTTGCCACAGATTCTTAATTGGATCGAGGTCTAAACTTTGACTGGACCCTTTTAGCAGATAATCATTCTTTGATCCAAGCCGTCAAGTTGTCACTCTGTCTGTGAATTGAAGGTCGTTATCCTGTTGGAAAGACGAACCTCCTCCCTAGTTTCAGGTCTTTCGTTACCTATCTCAGATTCTCAAACAGGATGGACGTGTATTTTCAGTCATATATCATCCCATCCACCGCAATGAGCTTCACTGTCCCTGCTGAAGGATATAATCCCCAAAGCAAAATGCTGCTACCACCATGTCCCAGAGTGAGGACGATACTATGTTCAGGGTGTGGCCTTACCTTTAGACTACACTTTTTTTTATGGAGGCTAAAATGTTTCAGAAAAAAAAAAAACATTCTCTAATCTAAGCTGCGAAACCCTGAAACTCCTCCAGATTTATTGCCTTATTCTCTGATTAATTTTACAGCCTGTCATGCGGAGGTCCATGTCTTAGTAGGACTGCTGTTGGTCCCTCCTATATGTGGTTTGGATTATTCCAGATCATGGATTACAGAGACTTCTGGGAGATGTTCAAAGCTTTGTATCTTGTTTAAGATTCTAAACCTGATTTAAAGTGAACCTGACCCATCGGCTCTTGATGCTCATGGCTGTCTATATTTTCTAATGAACTTTTAAGTCCTTTATAGAACTGCTGGATTTAAACTGAGATAATATTACTTTTTACGAATGAGGGGACTTCTAATGTACTGATGGTGGCTGTTTGTAGTGGATTTAATTTCAGAATGAAGGGAATACGAAAAAGTTATTGATAATTATGTTTTTCTTCTTGCTGTTAAAGTATGAAAAGCATGTAGCTTTTTCCCTCCGCTTCTCAATTATGGAATAGTTTGTCTTTCACATAAAAACATCCAATAAAACACATTCATTTTGGTGGTTTCTATCATGACAGAATGTTAAAGGTTTAATAAAATGCACTAACTAGAAGGATCTTTTTTTACTCAACTATAAAAACATATTTTGTTTATTTGAAGTTAAGTCTTTTGCCAAACTTCTTTTAGTATGAGCAGTTAAGAAATTAGAAGCATTTCTTTAAACATTCAAGAAATGTGGTGAATGAATGTACCTTGAAGAGCGGATTAGATGTATGTCTGTATGTTTTTGTCTGAAAAAGGCTGAACGAAATCATAAAAACCTCAGAACCATCAGAAGCAGATGCTTTGGACCTTCTGGCTGGAATAGAAAAGCTCACTCAGATCCAGCAGATAGAGTGAGTTGTTTCCCTCAGAGAAAGTGGTTTTGATCATTCCAAGTTGGGCCTTTCTTCCATGAAAAATAAAAGCTGAGTTTAATATTTTTTTTATTTTCAGGTTAGGTGGCTGGAGGATGGCTGATAGAGGATTACAGGCACTGACTGGAATCCTTCCTGTCTGGAAAAACCTCAGGAAGATCAGGTGAAGGAACCATGGATGGAACTAAAGTGTGAATGCTTTCATCGCACTACAACACAGAGGCACACAGGGAAAACAACTATACACCAGCATAGCTAATATGCAGGGGGAGGACATGCAATCTGCATACAATAAGAAGAATAATTCACTCAGATTCTAATGCTAAGATCTACAATTTCCTCATAATTGGCTTCTAACAAGAGAATCAAGTCATCTTAAATTAGTTAATTCTACACGTATAAGTGCATTTCATTATACTTGCAATGTAACAATTAAATAATAAAATGATCAAATAGAGGTGGTGATAATCTACATATACTACCTTACTCACATTAAGAAAAAAGTTACAACTCGAAGGAGAATCATTGCTCTGTATTTTTGCATATTTTAGTAAAGACATAGAAGTTTAGCCGCTTTCTTTTCCTCTGTAATTTAACCATAACAACCATTTACCATTACAGTTAAAAATTGCTGTGGGTCTTTTAGGAGAGGTTTTAAATTGTAATTCAGCAGAAATCAAAGTAATTATAGTTTGAATGGAGAGTTTAGTTTCTGTCAATCAAGAGAACTTAATCTCATTCTTACTTGACTGAAGTTAAATGCATTCAGAGACATCAATGAGGTAGAAGTTTCTAATTAACTTTTTTAAATTGGGGAGGCAGATATACGTTGCTTTTTTTTTTACTTCTTTCTGCACCTTTTTTTCATTCATGATTTCAGTTGTCACCTGCACAAGTTTTATTATGTTGTTTTCTTTTAATGAATGAATGAATAAAATAAATAGATAAAATTCAGCAATGCTGACCTCAGTGTTTTCACAGCTATATATATTTTAGGTTTTAAGGAAAGCATAAATGTTTAGAAATGATCAAGATTTGTTTTGTTTTAAGCTCTTTTCTCTAAAACTCTAGAGAAACATTTTTGTGAGTAATATTCTTGATTTCTTCTGGTGCTAAAATAAAAAGCACCAATTATTATTTTTTAATTATTATTTTATTATTGCTCTGTATATGCTGTGTTGGAACTTTATAAACTGGTTTAATTCTTGCTGCTGCTCTTTTTTCCCCCTTCAGTCTCCCTAAGAATCTCCTGAGTGATTCCTGTGGAGAGAAGCTGCTGGAAGCTGTGAGGAGTTGCATCCATCTGGAGGAGCTCCAGTAAGGACATGTTTTCAGTCTCTGGGATATCTGCCTGCTCAGCAGAAAAAAATGAGAAGATCTTACAGTTTTCTTGATATGGAAAGCTTTTCTATCTTAACTGGATTTTATATCAATATGTATGTATATAAAGTTACATAAAGAAGCCATCTGTTTGTATTTCTCTGCCAGTCTGTCCAGTAATTTTCTGGGTGACCTCACGGCTGCCAGAATGTCTCTTGTCCTCCCATCAATGACGCAGCTCGCTGTACTGGAGTAAGATTCTCTCTGCTACATCTTCTTTCCTCTTTTTTTTCCCGTCCAGCTATCTCAATTGCAGGAATGTTTTTAAAATGTGTTTTTTTTTTCTTATTTAGTATTTCGGAAAACAGATTTGGAAGTGAGGGCCTGCTCAGTCTGTCCAAAGCAATAATGGGTCTAAAGAGCCTCAAAAAGATCCAGTAAGTCCTGTTAGTTCAGGAATCCGATCACAGAGGTGTTACAGGAGGTATTGATTGTTTGCTATTTTTAACTGTTATTCAGCTTGACGTCTGTGGGGGATGCAGAGCTGGGTGCTGTCGCTGCCAGTTTGAGACACTGTCCCGTCATACAGGATGTGGGGTAACAAAAAAGAGCTAATTAAGAACATTGCACAAACTCACAAGAGGCAGAAATCAAAATGAGCTAAGATATAAAGAGTGAAGAGTACTTATCCAACACAAATGTATTCCTTTTTTTTCTGGCATTCACCTTACAAATATGAATTCTGACACCAACTTTCCTTACTGGCTGTTATAAACTGATTTTAATTACTCTGATTTTACAGCAGAAATGAATCTTTCTCTCTTTTCTCGCCTTTGTTTTTAAATCAGCTTTGGTTGGAATAACTGCGGAGATGATGTGGCGCTGGAGCTCTCTAAAGTTCTTCCTTTTTGCCACGATCTGAATCGCATCGAGTAAGTTTGATCCAACACAGCAGAAACAGGAAAGTTAATGAAAACATTTTTATTGAAGAATTGGTTGTTTGTTCAAAATAAAGTCAATTGGAAATATTTTTTTTTTAATGAGAGCATTTTACATTTTACAAAAAGAAAACATGTATTATACAGTTTTATTCAAATTACTGAAAACATTTTTTCACACACATATCCATGCATTATTACTCAGTCATACTAAATCGGATTACTGTAAGATCACTTTGATGCTGGATGAATCCAGATTTAATTAAATCAATCACACAATGATGATACTGTCTTGAGAAATAATTTTATTTAGAGGAAGTTGTAGCCAATCATCAGCTATCGATGTTATCCTTGAAATTCTACAATAGAACATAACCTCCCCCAATAAATTTATTTACTTCTCTGTCCTTCTAACTTTTGACCTCCAAGTCAGCCTCACTAGATACCCTCCTGTCTTTGGTGGAGCTGCACACCTAAATCTACTCTTTAAAGCAACTATGCATGCAGCATCACTTATAGAGTCTATGAACAAATTTTTTTGCTCCCCTAGAGTTGAATACATCAACAATCGGGCATCATCCATGAAAATAACAAAGGTTTTTATACATGGACCTATTAAATGCTTATCTTAATAGATATGATTAATATTTTTACATTATTTAAAAGTATTTCTGTTTTATTATTTTTTTTTATATATTTTTGTGTTTTTAATGTAACATGGCGGCGCCCTCTATTGGCCAGCCACCACTTCGTTAGAGAGTCCGGAAGGTTTCTGTCCATCCATTGTCTATACTTGCTCAGCCTTCCAGAGTCTGCGTTCTAAACCATCTAAAGTGTGTTTAACACCATAAAAATACTGCACCTGCATAGAGCATGGGGAAAAAATTATTAAATGTGACCTGACTTACTTTTGTGAGACCTGGTGGAAAAAAATTATAACATGAGTCTAATTTGAAATGCAGGAAACTTGAACAAAATAATGATTGATTTAGATGTGATCATATTTATCCTGCAAGGCTGACAAAGTTTGGCTTACCCTATTACAACTTTTTATTCTTTATTTTACTTGTAAATAACTAAATATTGTATGAAAGTATTTAGTTTAAATACCTCTAATGCAGTTGTGGTATAAATTACCTGTAAATGTTAAGCTACCGCTTAAAATATGATCATTTAATGCATTTAGCTTTTCTAGTTGATTTTCAATTAGCTTAAGAATTCTGTTATCAGGTTTGAAGGAACTCTAAGATTTTCGTAAAATGATATTTAGTCTTAAGATTCTTTGAGAATATTGCCACTAGTTTACAGCATATTTGGAGCATTGGAAATACATTTTTCTTCAATATCTTCACTATGGTGTTGCAGTAGCCAGTAAAAAAATCAGCCAAAATCAAATTCATTCAAAGGCCATTTATTGCCGTTATACATGAGAAAGTGTCTCCTATTTTTTTTATTTCAAAGCAGACGAAAGATTGCTAACAAAAATACTCCTACTACAAGAATATAAGAAGCAAAATACCTCAGTAAAAAAAATTATCTCATATGTAGTTAAATACAAGAATTAAGAGAGTAAAAAAGTATTGCAAGAAATATTTTGTATTTGCATACATTCAGAGATGATAATATTCAAATATTTGAGTTTTAATGAGGTAGAGTAGATAAAAGCAGCAGCAGTGGCAGTGTGTTCATTTTGCATGTTTTGCATCTCAGAGGACAACAGCTCAAGCAGCTGAAAACCGTGTATGAATTTTCCTTGATGACTTGGCAAGCTCTGCTGTGGCAGCGGGTGTCACGAATGTCTGTGAGGGAGGGGAGAGGGCAGCCAACGATGCTATTGTACTGCACTGAAAAAAACAAACAGATGCCTGCGATGATACAAAGAAAAACAATCTAAGTTTGGTTCATTGTGGAAAGTAGAATGAGCAACTTTTGTGGACATCATTGTTTGTGTGTGTTTCCCTCAGCCTGGAGTGCAACAGTGTGAGTGCTGTGGGAGTGAAGGCTCTGGTTAAAGCATTAAGGTCCTGCCCTGCTCTACAAGTCATCAGGTAGATGTTAACGGGACACAGCGTCACTTCCTTTATGGTACCCAGAAACCATTATCCGTGCAGTTGTTTCAAGTTTTGCTTCCTCCTTTAGGCTGTGGAAGAATAACGTCTCTGTGAGTGAAGCTCAGACGTTCAGCCAGATGGAGAGGAGACTGAACTTCTCCTCCACCTAATGTGATCTGTACCGCAGGGCAGTGGAGAACAAACTGCAGCTTCACCACCTACTGCTTCAGGCACAAATAAATATATTTATCCTTTCCAGATGCTTTATTAAATGATGTACAGAAAGGCGGAGAGAAGACATATTTTTGTCTGCTTTAAAGCATAAATGCTGCATATCTGAGCCTCTAGTTTCGCAAGAGAAAACTTGTTCCAGTTGTTTTCACCGTTTTTGTCCCTCGTAGGTTAGAAAACCATCACAGATTTGTCACTGAAGCAACCAACTGGGTTAATTTGGTCAATGAAAATATAGAAATTACATTCTCTAAAAATGTACATCAGCTGAGTCTTAGGAAATAATAAAAAAGAAAAAAAAGAATCAGTCTAAGTTTGTACCACAGATCTCAGAAGTTGTAACAACTGTAATGAGCTTGTTATTTTTGATCTGATGCGATCCCCCAGGACACAGTTTCTGCTACGAAACTAAAGGCCACCTTTTATGTTTTTCTTCTTATTTTGGCACTGGAATACTTTTCTTTGTATTTCTACAGACTCTGATTTAATGAGTCACTTTGCACTGTGTAACAGGGACCACATTTGTGAAAAACACCATAAGTCAAGAATCTGCTGTAAACAGGGGGTTTCCTCCCTGATCATCATGAAAGGTTGTGGTCTCTGTCAGAATACGTATTTATTTCTGCTTTAAATGGAAGGATGAGCAGCTTATTTTTTTATTATCTATTTATGTTTTGTTGAAACAGTTTTTGCATGGTTTTCATCTTGTATTAATTTTCTATCTTAAGACTACTTGATAAAGTGAGAACAGACTTGGTTTTGAAATTTCAGCACCTTATTGTGTGCTTTGCTCTTTTACTTGTAAACACTGGTGGAAAAAAATGGCTTTTTGGGTTTTAATGTGGATCAGCTGATTTTGTTAATGTTTCAGCTTTCACAGAACTTCCTTTGTGTCTATACCTTTGGTACAAACACTGTCTTCCGGGTTTTTTTTTCTATTTTGATTTAAGCTGTTTGCTCCATTTACAAATTTTGTGCCAGTTTGATTTTATTTTATGCCATTCCATAGACAAGAAATGTAGATATTTTGCTATCAACTTAAAAAAAAAATTATTCCAAACAGTTTTTCAGGGTTTTTGTATCCCATTTTTGTATTTATTATGTGTTTTTTTTTGTTGTTGTTGTTGTTTACACATGCTGGGTGAAATCACTATTGCCAACATCCTCAGTTTCACTGAAGATCCTTGATAATAAAGTTTGTTTAAATATATGTCTGTTTCTTATTAAATGTTATACATTTGGTTTGATTTTCCTTTATGAATATGGAGAAAATTGACTTATGTTACAAAAATAATTGGAGTTGTTTCAATTTTTAAAACGCTTGTCTCCCTCTTGTGGTTATTAAGGGTACTACAGTAACCCCCTTTTTTAACCACAATGGATAATAAAATAAAAAAAAACTTCTCTCTCTCTTTCTACTGAGCAATTTAAACTGTCAAAATAAATGTAATGCTCTTAAAATTGATATAGTGTGAAATACGCAAATCAGTACCATTTTTCCCTTAATGGCTGAATCCCACTATCATGACCACAGCTCTACAAGATAAAGTTGACATAGTATATTACAATGTCAGAATAATGCGTGGATTTTTTTGTGAAAAAAAGAAAAATCAAGATCAACCATTTCAGATTTTTCTCTTAGTAACGCACGCGTTTGACTGTGCGTCGATATTTTTTAAGTGGGCNTTGACATAGTATATTACAATGTCAGAATAATGCGTGGATTTTTTTGTGAAAAAAAGAAAAATCAAGATCAACCATTTCAGATTTTTCTCTTAGTACCGTAATTAATTTTTCATTCCTTACATTTTATATGAAATTAGTAAGGAGAAAATTAAATAAAAATACAAAAAAAGGTAGAATAACCTGGTGTATAAATCCACCCACTATTTTAATCACCTTGCAATTAACTATGCCCTGTGCTGCAAGGTGCAGTGGCAGTTTAGGGTATGAGTTAAATTTACTCAATTACTTTTACTTGAATATATTTTTGAAAACAGCCGTAATGAGTAGGTTTACTGCATCGTACGTTTTGCTTGTGTAATATCACAATAAAAAACCACAACTCTTACTTGAGTGAAACACAATCAATTCTTATGTTAGATCACTGTCATTTCCTGCAAAAGCTTACTTTATGTCTGGTGACATTTAGTTCTGACTTTGTTACATCATTTCTAACATCTGATGTAGTGATGAGTTGCTCAGAACTCGGGTAGCTTTTTTACCAAATACTTTTTTACTCTTACTAGTTAAAAAATATAATGACGTGCTACTCTTACTTGAGTTCAGTACCACCTCTGATAGGGTACAAGGGGGGCTTTTAAGAGCAAGGCAAGAGCTGAGCCACATCCTTTCAACAGAAAAAGTGCTTCCAGAATTTCAGGGTGTAGTTTTGGAGTGGAGGGTAGTTTGGAAACTTCAGATTCTCATCCTGTTATTTTGTTTGGGTGTTTAGGCCATGATCCTAAACAATACCTGATCAGTCTTTGTCTGAAGTGAAGGAGGTCATGTATTTTGGTATCTTGTCCATTAGTGATTTTCTAGGTATGCCATCCAAATGAGGGACCCCTAATATTATCTACAAAATGCTGGAAACCAGTGTCTGTACTGCCCTGGACGAAGAGCCATACTGCCTGAATGCATCTACAGTGCAATGAAAATATTAAAGATATTGTGGAGAATTTTCGCCAATTTAAAAAAATAAAAACAAAAAAAGTGCACATGCACAACCCTGTACCCAGGTTAGGGTTAGCCTATAAAAGGCGTGCGAGAGCGTGCAGGAGCCCATTTCGCCTTGTGCATGCTCTGTTTAAATGTTGCTGTTCTCATAGCTCATACAAGTTTACCGTGTCCAAACGTCATTCTAACCCCTAAATCCCTCAATAACTATATAGAGAGGGGACTATATAGTGGACTTTATAGTGAACTCGGTCAACCTACCGTTCGGTCAGATGATCACTGCTTTTTGCTCCCTTTGGTCACGTAACTCCTCCCCCATTACACAGTGCCTGCGCTCTCTTTTTAATAGTTACTGCTGTCTATACCGACAGGGCCGGTCCTTACTTCAGCGTGCGAGGGCCCTCTTTTAAGGTAAATAACTCAAGAGGACCCTCTTGAGTTATTTAACTATGACAGTCAATAACTCAAGGAGCTCAAGAAGTAACACAATGTTATTTACTTAAATGATGCATTGCAGTATATAGAGCCCTTCCTTGTCATGCACATCCTTGTGAAGGTTGGCATATGGTGTAAATTTTCTATTTCTTCAAATTGTAAAATCCTTGCAACAAACTAAATTATAATAAAACTAAAATGCTTTCTTTAACCCAAACTACAATGTTCCTCTTATATTGGGCGAATTTATGTTAGAATATTTTGCAAAAATATGTTGCGGTGCATGATGGGGTTTTGCATCTAAAGACTACGGTTTCCTGTCTTACGTGCATTGTTGCCAGGTTGGGATGTTTCCCAATCTGGCAGTTTAGGATGGCCGTCTATGGGTAAAAATGTTTTTCTTTAGATTTAGAAGTCTTGGTGATGGTTGTTGTGTGATGCTTGAAGATAGATCGGTTAATCCACAATGTGTATCCGTATTGCATTTCACATCTGAAACGCACGCGTTTGACTGTGCGTCGATATTTTTTAAGTGGGCCGGTGTAGATGGTAAAATGCCAGGGCCAAAAATCGTTCCCAGTCCGAGCCTGANTGTGTGATGCTTGAAGATAGATCGGTTAATCCACAATGTGTATCCGTATTGCATTTCACATCTGAAACGCACGCGTTTGACTGTGCGTCGATATTTTTTAAGTGGGCCGGTGTAGATGGTAAAATGCCAGGGCCAAAAATCGTTCCCAGTCCGAGCCTGATTACGCGATATATGTGCCTCTTCTGGAACCTTTCTTTTCTTCTCATACACTTCATAGACACTTTCTCTCTTAGGACCCTCTGCCAATTTCAAAGAACCGCAGTGAGAAAGGTGAGCTTCAATGACTGTCTGAAACCATAACTCCCCACAGATATATGTCTAAAAGTGCGCATGCGCAGAAAAATATAGCACATTGGAAGACCCGATGTAAACATATCACCAAAATGATTGACAATTACAGTAGAAGGACCACTTATTTACATGATCCACCTGGATATAAAAGATCATCCTCTATACATCTAATTGATAACTTTAAATACTCATTAAAGTCTGCAAAATAAGTAATTTATGTTTATAAAAGTCAGCAAATATAGTTCCACCAAGATCACATTTAACTAAAATGAATTTCCTGAACTTGACGTTTATTTTGAAGGTGAAAGGACTGTACATCCGGTTGGATCTTATTCGTGTGAACTTGACGGAGCTCCGTCCGCCGCTGCTGGCAGAGGAGTCAGCGCTCCCACAATGATTTCCGCTCACACACTGTTGCGCCTCCCTGGATAACCACCGCAGGTCAAAATGTCAATTACAGGTTTAGCCTTCAGATAAAAGAAGAAAAAAAAAGTGATTCAGAGTTTTTGTATTTTTATTTTTCTTCCTCGTTTTAAAAAGAAAGAAAATAAAATAGATAGTGTGAAGTGGAAAACGCCTGAGAAGTTGTTCATTTACTGAGGTGAGTCTGTTTTTTGCTTCTCTGTTGATGTCGGAGCAGGTTGGTGCGTGTGCGCGCTTTTAAATGCATAAAGTAAATACCCACGCAAAATGACCTGCATTCAGACTGCGGGTTAGAGGGGTTACAGGCGGAAGGATGTGGCACACATTCGATATTTTCATGAACACCTTGCATGTAGAGAGAGGAAAAACGCAAAGCTGAGGTCCCTTTTGACCTGATCTCAATTTAGGTCAATGCTTATTTTTACATGATTATCGTTTACATTGAAATCCTGCTTTTAATGACGTCTCTGGCTCCAAATGCAGCAGACAGGACACGTAATTAGACCTGATGAGTGCCTGCAGAGGTCACTATGCTGTAAACTGGTAACAGCCTGCCCTCTCTCTGGTTTCTCACTGAGGAAGTGTGATCAAGATGTGAATATCTTTAGCTGGGTCAGGGCTGAATGTGCTATCAGAATACTCTCCCAGGTATGCTGACCTGAAGGGATGTAATAGATCTGATTAATTTCAAACATGTCTTTTGTAGATTCAGAACTTGGACAGAGAATGTAATAAACCATTGCTGAAAAAGCTCCAGATCTGGAGCAGCATGTGTTCATTCTAAATTTCTGAGCATATAGAGGAAGCAGCAGGTGTCAGCAGCTGGATTTCTCCCTCAGTCTCTTCAGGGCTGCTCTGAAACTAGCAATATTTCAATTAAAATAAAACACTGGAGTGAATGAAAGCAAATGAACCCCTGAACAATGATTGAGTAAAGGGAGTAAAAAAAAAAAGATGTTATTTTTGTCCTCGTTATCACAACCTAAAGTGTGACATCACGGAACTGGACCAGAGGACCACGTTGGTTATGACTAGTATCTTAGCAACAGACCGCATCCTTTCTGCATGCTGCCGTGAGAGCAAAAACACCTTTTGTGTACACAGAGGGAACTGTTTGTTCAAAAATCAGACTCGTGTCACATTTCTGATCATAACGAAAATACCTCAAGTGTGTTATTTCATCCAATTTTTGCCTTAAATCTTTTTCCTGTGATCTAGTCTTGTGGTACAAATCATAAGTGTGTGTGCACACATGTACATCCTTACTAGATTGCCTTGTGTTCCCTTTCTGGGATTATCCTTTACCTTTTTTTTTAAATAAAATTGGCCTCATATGGATCACATCTAAAGTGTGAGGTAACCTTAAAATCTCAATTGAATAGAGGTCAATGTTCAAAATGATACAAATAGAGTTGGACAGTAGTGTTAAACACTTAGGGTGCCACTAATTAGAATTATGAGACAACTATTGGGTGTTTTTCTATTTCATTTGATCATGTAAGTAAATCTTAAAATGGAATAAGCCAGATGAATAATGTGTAGAGTTCAAATTCAACTACCCGTATCTAACTGGAAAGCCTCCTGATAAAAGTTTCCACAGAAAGGGAGGGACATTCAGTACAATTCTTTGAGCTGACTGGATAGATTAGTTGGATAATGCCTCCCGTGTTTAGCCTTAAACAAATCAATGCAGAGGTAGCAGTGTAACGTGTCACATTTTGGATTTGTTTCCCATCTAGCTGACTGATAAATCAAACTTTTACCATATCGGGAAGAACCAGCAAATCTCTTTCCTATCCACAAATACAATAACAATGGCCTTTTGCTCATTAAAAAAAAAAAGAAATAAAGGGTGTTCCGGCTAAAACTTGTGCAGCCATCTTTCTTTGCTTCAGCCTCCTCTTTGCTTGACACGTTGACGTCATACATTCAACTGCATTTCGTTGGTCCGAAACATTTCCAAATCGAGGCGAACGCATCTGTTTGCTTCTGGCAAGATGTAATTTCAGGAGTTTGTGAATTAACAGATAGCACAACAATACATCAAAAAGGGCAGCAGCGCTTATACTGCCTCAGAAAGCAAGCCAGGTTTCAGGTTGACAAGACTGTGATGACCATGTTCTATAGATCTTTTACTTACCTTAAGATAAGTCCATACTTACAGTACCTTCTCTGCCATCTGCTGGTACGCTCTTCTTAATTGTTAAAGTGAGAAGGATTTGTCCCCTTGGAAGGAAGGCTGTAGCGCCCCAGGGGCCTTCTCGCCGGTTCTTTTCCTGGGAGCAAGTTATTTACTACTCTTAACTCAAACTGGGTAAAACCATATAAAAAAGGACTATAAAATAGCTCTCCTATCAGACCGGCTCCAAGATGTGCCCATATCCTGTGTACTCTTAGAGACACGAAGGCTGTCTTGATTAGATGACCTCCGTACACACCGTGATATCCACAATGTGAAGGAAGGCCCTCTGCTCTGTCTAATCTGACTAACAAATTAACAGTGCACATGATGTATAAATAATAAAACCTAACATAATGTAAAGAATAAAAATGTCATATCCAAGATTATTAAAGTGTGCAGTAAGATCATGGGTGTTCAACAGAAAAACATGACTGAAATGTATGAAGAGCAGGTAATTAGGAAGGCTGAGTCCATCTTGGATAATTACACCCATCCCCTACATAGCGAATTCCAGTTTCTAAAAGGGGTGGAATAAAGGAATACTGACTGAAGGAAAAATGGGGAGGAATATTGCTTTAACTGAGGAAAGCAAGGGACAATATGGGAAAATATAGTCGGAAAATAAAGACTGACAAACACTCAGAGAAGAGCTGGACCCGTGGAAATGAGAACCAATAGAGAATAGTGAAGGCAGAGAGACGTGCAGTTAAGATGGTGGTGACCAAAAATGATATATACTTTAAAAATCTGTGGAAATATTAAGGACATATATTTGATACTGAATGTATGATTTAATAATTAGTCAGTTACTCAATGATTATGAATCATATGAATATGAATTAAGGGTAATGATTATGAATGACAATCTGGTATAGAAAAAAAGCCCACATTTAGTAACAGTTTACTCCTTGATAGTAGCTACTTTAATTGCATCAAAGGTTAAAGATACCACATACATCTTGTTCAGAAGTACAGAATACATTTGAAATACATGCATACAAATATAGGAAAAACTACAGAGGATATGAATGACCACATATATTTCCTGAGTTCATTTTCTAAAAACAACTTTACACGATTGGTTATCTCTCAAAGTTGATATTTAAAATTCGGAATTTGCACACAAACTTAACATTGACAGTCTATATTAGTCCTTTTATTTTTTCAAATCCTGCAAATGGAACGGAGTTTCTTTCTTGTAAAGATGAAAAACAAACACATAAGAAACTCTGGTGCTAGTGCTGCAAAAAAGGATGTAAAACATCAGGGGTAATTGTTTACAAGTCATGTTGTACTGTGCTGTTCGTGTGTGAATACAAAACAATGTTTTGTTGCAGTTTTAAAATCTTTTTAATCCGGGTCCCATCATTTTCAATGTCTCTGTTACGATGCAGAGGTGCAATTATTTACTGTCCCAATTCTCCAGTTTTTGCCTGGTTGGAGGGGCATTGGCTGCAGAGCGGGTAGTAGGATGGGGCCTGCATGTTTTAGATGTGTTTCAGTTGCTTGTCAGCAAGAGGATGCCTAAAACATGCAGAACAGGGGTACTTGAGGACAAGGGTTGGGAAACATGATCTAAGGCGGAGGTCTTGAACAGGCGGTCCGCGACCCCTAGGGGGTTAATGGAGGTACGGCATGGGGGTTAAAAAAGTTTTGGTTGATTAGATTTTTTTTTTAGATTCCCCCCTGCAATTTTTTCCACTAATTGAAATGTCTTTAAATACACATTTAAATAAATTCAACACACTGTAGTAAACAGAAGAGGCAGAAGACGTCTTTCATTCATCAATACACACATTCAGCGACACACAGGAGCTCTTTCAAACTGGGCACCGTTTCATTCACAACACCTGTCCCATCAACCAGGAATCAAAATCAGAAATACTTTAATAATCCCAGGGAGAAATTACTTTCGTTAAATTAATCCATCTGTAATAGAGGGACTATAGGACCAGTTTGATATAACACAATTTCATACAATATATATAATTAGGGGGTCCCTGCTACATCTGGCCATCAGTTTGGGGGTCCTTGGCCTGGAAAATGTTGAAGACCCCTAATTTAAGGCATAAACATTTTCAACCAGACATCATTCCTTTGTCTTCTTTTTTTATTTTAAATGAATGAAGGTTGCAGAACCATTTGTGTTTAAAGAAAAGAAAATCTTTGTTAGGCTTTCTTAGTTACCTTGTGTTTCCTTTGCTCTCTTAAGTCTAAATTTCCAACTGGAACAGCCCAGAAAATCTGGAATTATGAGACGGAAAGTTGGCATAACCGTATGTTACCTGACTTGTAATTCAAGATAGATGCTACTCCCATCAACGCTAGTTAAAATTTTCTCTTCTGTTTCACTCATTAAGGCATTATACTTTTAAATGTTTATAAGTCGACCTGTTTCAATGCTGTGTAAATGTTTAGAATACTCCGTGGAAAAGTATTTTTTGTGGTTGTCCTGGATACTGTAGTAGCAATGGAGAATACGGAGATCCAGAAATGGAAAATGGGAAGATTTTACCTCAGAGATTACATCACCTCTCATTTTACAACCAGCTTTCTAAATTCAGTTTTGAAGCTTATCGTATTCTATACCACTAAGGAGTTTGGTCTTGGACAACCATATATTAAAATCTTTTGCACTTTACAGCATTCAAAAATGCTTTTGGTGGTTTAATTTGGTACCGGTAAATTTGAGAACATTTCTAAGATATTGATATTTCTAATAACACACTGATATGTGTTTTTTTTTAATGAAAATAGATGAAATAGTAATGTGACACATAGAACTCCATACATACAGGGCAGGATATCCAAGAATATATCTTTAAAGAAAAGCACAATGGTTTTCGTCTCCAGGATAACCCTAGCATAGCATCTTAGCATGGTTTCAGACCTTGTGTAGATGAAATGACGGACCTCCTAGTATCTTTAACATATCTCTCCATCGAGCTATTATTCATAAAGGCTTTCAAATTTCTCAATTTTTGCCAGTAGCAAAAACATTTAGCTGAAGTTTCAGTTAAGTTTTTCAAAAGAGCCTTGTGATTGATGAAGGAATTGACCTTTTGCCGAATGTTTATTTTTCACATCGTTTCTCTTTCAGGTTGACCACCTGTGTTTTTAAACCATGGCCTACACACTGGGTATGGCACCTGATGGTCGGACACGCAGTGTGGGACCACAGCACTGCGTGACTCGGGTTGAGCTATCTGTCACTGCGTCCAACCTGCTGGATCGAGATGTAGCCTCCAAATCGGACCCTTTCTGTGTCCTCTTCCACGAGGTGGATGGAAATTGGGTGGAGGTACGTTGATGGAACAACATCCATGAAGACACAAACAGAAGTTTAAAAGATAGGGGATATTTGAAGTTATGCTTCCTACATGAAGAAAGAAGATCTTAATAAGTAAACAGGCCTTTTTGGCTCAAACGATAAAAATAACAATCAGGTTCTGTTTGTTGTGTGCTCTGCGGACCGTGATCTGTAGGTGGTGAACTGGATCCAAACACATGAATTCTTTGCCATCTGGCATCAGTCATTGCATGCTGGGCCCAGTGGAATGTTGCCATATTTCAGAGCTTTCTTGCAACAATAAAATGGATTTTAGATCCGGTTAAAGTTACAATCCGGTTGGTAAAGTCAATGAATGTTTTTACTGATCATTATTTTCGTTAAAAACAGATGCAAAGATCATGAAAAGTAAGATGCAAAAGTTGAACAAATCTTTACTGACAGTTTTAACAAAGAAGCAGAAAAGAAAGAAAAGCCTCCGGTTGATGGTTTAAAAAAGGTTACACATTTTTTGCTGGTGTTAGCTTCTTCTGAAATGCAGCCTGTGAAAGGTTATATTATTAATGGACTGACCATGATAGTCCAACACTCTGATTCCTGCACTTTTTTACATTTATTTAGATTTTTTTTTTATCATACTTTTAGACATGACTTAAACAGCTTGATTGTACTGATTTTGAGTCAGTCAGATTTTGAGTGATGATTTGGTTTTGGGATGCTTTAGTTACAAATATATGGAATGTTTTGTGATTATAAACGTACAAAAATCAATCAGCAATGTGTAAAAGTAGATGGTGCTCTGTGTGGCAGGGTGCCTTTTGGTTGCTGATGTTGAAGCCCCTGTAGGAAAATCATAGGCCGGGCACACTGTAATTTGACTACTGGACAAACAAGTCAACAAATAATACAGTCGGCCAGGGGACACCAAATCTTTTTGCACCACCTCGATCATGCACAAACCATGATCTTGTTTGTGGTCTTTAGTTCTCACCAGAGCATCTTCTCCTATAAAAAAAGCCTTAATCCCCACCACCCCCTAAGACTGTGTTTCTCCCCTTCTCTTTACCCTAACATACTTACTGACTATGCCACTGCAGACCCATCTTTGAATATCATGAAGGTGCAACTGTCACAAATCAGAACAGAGGACCCAGTATTCAAGGCAAGACAGACAGTGGGATTATAAAAAAAGCGTTTATTTAAATCAATGGGATGTGGATCTGCAGTAGCAGTGGCTAGGGTGTCTGAGGAAGGAAACTCTAGAGAGAGAAAACATAGGTTAGTGACCATGTAAATCTAACAGAGAAAGATTATGAATGTGAGTCGCTGACCTGGTTTACAACTTCAGTCCATAGCCAGAGAAGGAGGTAGGATCCAGCTGGTGGGCTGCCAACAAGATGCGGCGGACGCCGCCCAGAGTGTCCCAGATACTGCAGCCCTGGAAAACATGCAGGAGTCTGAAGCCAGGTCAGGCAAACCGATCAGAACAGGAACAGGCAGGCTCAGTGGTTAAGAGGCAGAACAGGTCAGGATCAGGAACTCAGAAACACCAAGGAACTCTAAAAACACTCCCAACACTGGCTAGAGAGAACAAGAATAATTAGGCTCTGATGACTGGATGCAAGCACCTTAAATAGAGGCAGGGGCAGGTGGATCAGACGAGCAGTGATGAGAAACCAGGCAGAGTAGACAGGTAATGGAATGAGTAATTAAACCAGTCAGTGCCAAGATCATGACAGCAACACCACATCACTGGTATAATTATGGAAAGTGATGAGACCTCTTGAATGGTGCACTTTAAGCAGCTCAAGACAGCGAAGATGATAGTGGACGTCCGGAGAACATCCCTCATACTGCTTCCTCTCACCATCCTCAACAACACTGGATTATTTCTCGTTCCCAGGAGCCACCTTTCTCTGGACTTAAGCTGGTGTTCACGCACAAAAACTCCAAAGCCCAGCAGAGAGTGTACTTTCTACTTAAGAAGTACACATTTCCAAAGGAGCAAGTGGCCATCTACACTGGCATTATTAGGAATGGTTAGTGTTTGTCCATCACTGTATGCTTTGGATCACCTGCAAAACATGGTAGTTCCAAAAAAACAAAAAACAAAAACAAAAACAAAAAAACAGCAGCTAATATCTCTGCAGACCCCACAGATCCTGGTTAGAAAATGGTTAGAAATCTACCTTCAGGTTGATGCCTTCCATCAGGGTGTCAATCTAATGCACTCCTTACAGTTTTAGTTTCCATGTCTTCCCCTTTTGTAGAAACATTTAAGAAGATTTCTTTTTACATGTTTATGTATTTTTTTTAACTTGCAGTGTGTTATGATGCACTTCATTTGTACGTATACGTTTTTTGCTGTTTGTGGTTAGAAAAATGAACTAAAACAACACCTGAGGCCAAAACAGCCATTATGAAGGTCCAAGGTTTCTTATATACTCTTCCCCTTAAATTCAATATGGCTGCCACCTTCATGAAACATTGGGATAGTTGCAGTAATAAACAATAAAATCAATATTTTCAGTGTAAAAAAGTGGACAAATGGTTTTTGATTTTCCTATCAGTTCTATCAGATCGGCCCTCATGAAGTAAATTTAGGTCAGCGCACCACATAGAGCTGTGCTTTTTACTCACTCTTGCAGACACTTGTGCAATGTACAGCTAGCTGCACAAAAGCATTTACAGATCCTGTATGAGCAGCTGGAATTGTAAAGGACTTTGAACAGTGGCGCTTATAGCAGGCTTTATGCATTAAAAAGTTGATATAAGGACATCTGTTTGCAGGGACACTGTGACAAAAGCAGCTTTGAAAAGGTTCCCCTGATTTGTGACCTTCTTCCGAAAATGAGTATTAAAGAGAAACGCTCAGAGAGGAAAGTATTTTCATAGAAGCAATTACGTCAGGGGTGTCCATGTCCATAACATGCAGCAACTTTTAAATAGCTCTCTTCTCCTCCTAGGCTCTTCTTAAATGGCATTACTTTTGTTAAAAGTCAGCTGACTGCTTTACTTTTCTATTTCCATATTGTTTGTGCAATCATTACATCTCCAGCTGAAAAATTTCAGACACTCAGCAGAAAGCCTAAGTTGATAGAACAATGTGCATGTTGTTAAGGACTGGCTGGACTGCAATAAATTATTTAAGTACCACGTATTAAGAATCTCTGAAGAAAGTCTGTGATAAATTAACTGACAACAGTTTTTTGATGAGAGCTAACAAGTGTAGAAATTGAAGAGGAGGGAAGGTGGTCAATTTATTAAGAAAAACATAATTTAAAAAAGTCATGTAATTCAGATATAGATTTTATTTGTATTACAATTTTTATATATATATTTATTTAGATATATATTTTCATTTTTACTCCTGGTGTCCTAATTACAGGAACAACATTTATGTTTAGCAGGTTGAACCGAAGCTACGCACTCTTCCTTTTCATCCCTAAATATTCGTTGTTCCACTGCCTGTTATAGCTGGACAGAAAAAATTGATTTTTTTGGGATAATAAACCTTAGCTGAGACTAAATCAAGCATTTTCCTAAAAACAAAGAATTCCAAAACAAGAGCCCATGTCTGTGACACTACAAATGAGACTGTTCTGCTTCTCTAAAAGTATTCTGCAGCCAGATTCAAAATGCCAGTTGACTGATCCAACTGGCATTTTTTATTTTCATCAGGTGGTTGTTTTATCGACAGCATATATCAGGGACATCAAAATAATCTGTATCGGCATCGGTTTTTGAATGTACCTGTATGGGTCGAACTCTACCAAATATCAAATGTCACATGCTGTGGCAGGAAGTAGCGCTTGAAGTTAGTTCAGCACTTTCTCTGGCTGTTAAAGCAGAGAACAGTTTATTAACTTTGTTTATTTTAAAACTGGTAGAGATAGACTGGCTAATATTTTTGTCCTTATATTAGTTTTTTCTTATGTTTTTTAATTTGTATCTGTCCATAGGTGCATGCATTCGTCAATGCCTTCAGTCCATTCGGGGCCATGCTTTGAGATCACATGAAGCGCATGCATTGCTCTCTCTCTCTGTTTGCTATCCATTGTTAATGTGTTTTCTTGATGATTCGTTATCATTTTTTAATTTTCATAATGTGAATGGGAGAAAAAAAGCTGTATCAGCCTAAAGAATCAGCACAAAAATGTTGATAGTACATTTTGTATGTCGGTTAAAGTAATATCAAAATAATCTGTATCAGGATCAGGCTTTAAAAAATCCTGTATCAGTCAATTGGTAGAAACTGGCTTCAAAATTTAGTTCTGCAATCTTCCCATGGTGAAGACTTTCAGTCCTGCCAGCAGTTGAAGCTATAAATGTCTTCTGTTGTTTTTTTTATTTATTATGATGTTTAAAAATCGGATGTGAACACTACGTTGCACAGTTTTGGTTGGTGTAGTTTGACATGTGTGGGCTGCAGCTTCAAGGCACCTCTGCAGCAAACAGCTGGTCAGCAGGGCAATCATGTTTTTATAGATGCATGTGCCTGTGCGTGTGTAGGCGAGTGCCTCGGGTTGCAGCGAGCTGTCGGTCAGCGGGGCATGTGGCTCCAATGTGAAATTGCCAACGGTTACCAGGGCAACGCTGAGGGAAACAAAAAGCTAAGCGCTCCTGTAGTGAGGGCGCAATGGAGGAGGCGAAACAAGGCCCGCGCCTTTTCTCGGATTTTATCCACAGCTCGTCGTTTCCCTCACACTTACAGCTTTCTCACCTTCTCCGATTGCCTCCTGTTCGCTTTGTTTTCTCTCTCCTCCTTTATCCCATCATCTTCCCAAATCTCGTCACCTCTACGTCTCCTTCTGTCATAGTTTTCGTCTATAACCGCCTGTGTTAGGAGATAGAGGCATGAGAAGCAGAAGTGTGACAAGAGGGGAAGTGGGGAAAAAAGGGTGATAACGGGGGAAACAGGGAAGAAGACAGCAGGGTTGAAAGACGGAGAGGTGACAACACGAATGGAGATGAGGGTGACAGTAAGTGAACCAACAGAACATGATGTTAAC